GAGACACAAAGTCAACAGAGACAGTTTCTTCAGAATGGAGAGGGCAAAGGCACTTTGTTACTTCAGCAACACCAACTTCAACCAGTCTGCAGACAGCCCTTACAACAGAGCACATTCCAAACAGGCTGTCCCACCTCATTTGCCAAAGCTCCCAGTCACTGTTACTGGGGAAAGAACGGGCTCTTGTTCTGAGGGAAGATCAAACAAGGGACTCAGCTCTCCGGAAGCAGGGCTTCATGGTGGTACAGTTATACATCCCATACAGAATGGAAAGCAAGGCCCTAATTTTGGATGTACGACAGCTGCCAACCAACCTTAACCTGCACTTTGGTCCCTGGCTATTGCAGACAGAAAGGTGAGAGACACACTATGAGGAATTAGGAACACCTACGGGTTATAGAATAGATTTTTTACCAGGCAGCGAGGAGCAAATGCATAAAGTCAGATTATGGATTCACCTGCAAGGTGCTCATGAGACAGGGGAGGACAAGGGATGCTCCATGCTGTACCCAGGGTCTGTCTGTCCCATGACCAGCTATGAGCCACAGGTGGGACAGGATCACGACCGAGCTTAACAACAGTGACTGGCAATGGAGAAGAACAGGAAACCACAAAGAAATCCAAGCAACAGCCCCATCTGCCACAGAAACTACACGGTGCAAAAGGCAAGTGGCTTTAAAAGCTGGATACCTTGTACTTCTCCCTTTTCAGGGGCAGATACACCACATTAACCCAACCTTTCAGTGACACCGCACTGCTCTCCAGGAACAGGCTCTCTCCCACAGGAAGACTGACTAGTGCCTCTAAGAACTCTAAAGGTGAAATGAAACATATAATCACCCACAAATACCATTTATCCAAAACTAGTAACAAGGGAAACAGGCTACTATGACTTCATATTAGGCTAGGAGGCTCTTCAGGGAGAGGAAGACGGAGGTTTTGTCTCATTCTTCTCCAAAAATCAACATTCTTTTGCTGTTGCACAGGTACAACTTTAACAAGTACTTTTTTCATGGCTGAAATGCAGAATGGCTTGTAAGGCAGATGGACCACAGCACTTCACTACCTCGCACCAGCTGATGTTGGTCCTCACAAGGAGAGGATGCAAGCATTGATTTCCTCCAAGACCCCTGCAGGGAAGACATCAGCAGCCCATCACCCAGAAGTCTGCTGGAGAGGAACCTCTACAGCCAGAGCTGAGCTGCACCATCTATTTCTGTGACTCCAGAAGCTGCCTGGGAGCGTCGTGCCCTGAAAACTGCAGATTCCCAGCATCAGCACCCCAAAGACAGCGGTGGAAGGGCTGCTCTGACGTTACTTCCCGTTTGTGGCACCCTGTTCCAGGCACTCAGATACTTCAGCACGTCCTTCTGGAACAAGGAACTTACTACTAGGCCTAATGAATTCATTCCAGAATGGCCGGGAATCTGTCTTCTTCCACAGTTTCACAAGCCTCTTTAGCCATATTTACTAAACTTCCATAAGATGGGTGAGGACCATCAAGATAAGATTTTCATAATTTACTGTTCACAGGGCACGATATAAGCAAAGCAGGACGGCCAATGCCAAAGCACAGTACCTTTGGTATTTATACCACTGATATCCCACATATTCTAACCCTCTACAGGTCAGCTCTTTGGAATACAAAGTCCAACAATCACATTATTTTTCTGCAGAACAAAAAGGACCACAAAAGCTGCACCCAGAAAGTCCTGCCGAATAAAATTCATCTGAGCCTTTGATGCGTGCACACAGGTAATTCTGATGTGGTGCTACACATGAATCTTTCATAAGAATAAGATGTCCTAAATAATATCATCAAAAAACTTTTGAAGAGTTAACAGGCTGGATCATAAACACCTCCACTGTGTGCAACCTCTCCAGACATCAAAGAGTCTTCCCCAAACCAGATGCATTACATATCTTGCAAAATTAGTAAATGTACTCAAGCCATCAATTTTGCAATTTTTGAAGTAGCACAATGCATCTATTTATTAGAGAATGGAACTAAGCCCAGGCTGCTGATTAGCCATCCTACAAATAATGCTTATGCAACCCTTTGTAATGATTTCCACTAACAACCAACCAGAGATTTTATGGCTTGGAAAATTTCACTTCTAAACCAATTTACAACACTTCCCAAAATCTAATGGGACAGATGATTGAAACTACGGAGGAAACCAGCCTTCTCCGAAATCAATGAGGTACAATTTTCGTAAGCAGTCTCTCTTAGGTAAGATGCCTGCATTAAGTTTTGGTTCTCATTTCTAAAATTCTCATAAGTACTCCTCCGTCCCTTCCTCTAGAAAAGGGATTGATTCAATTTTAAGGAAAATATTAAAACAGCAGTTTCAGACTTCAGTCTCTGGCAAATTACAAAGAGGAAGGAATAGCAATTGAACTGTTAAAACCACCAGGGAAAGTAAACCACCAAACAATTCGAAAAGCCCACAAAAAAGACAAGATAAAAAATGAAACAGAAATACAAAACAAGTCATCTTGGTAAGCACAAAACTGATATCCCTACAAGCTTTCAACGCAGCGTACCTAAGCCTGGTGAAAATGAAGCCATCAGTTCCTACACAGCTGTAACAAATACTTGACAGACTTCCAGCACAGCCCCAAGTCCACCATCACAGCCAGATATTACTGGAACAAATGCCCAAAGTCTGCAACACAAGTCAGCAGCGTACATCAAGCCCAAACAACTCGCCGTTGTTTTTGAAAAGGTGAAAACAACACAATATTTTGTGTGAAGCATAACAAAGAAGTATTTCCTCTGTCAGTAAGGGAAATTCAAATGACTTCTCTTCCCTGCCCCTTTTGGTCTTTCTTCCCCTTCAAGGTTCTGTCTTCCCTGCATTCTAAGAAAAAGCAGAGAGTGTAGGTTATGCATAAATTCATGACAGAAAACACTATTTTAGAACAAAGCTCCTGTGCGTGGGTGCATGTCTTTAAAATAAAAGGCATTGTTACTCTCCCAAGTGCATATCCACAGCCAGCAATCAAGTCAGATCCTCACATTTTATTTTGACAGCCACGCAGTGATATTTTCACCAGGGGTTTGACTTTCCTATCAATACCTGGTTTTCAGCGATATCATCAAGAGATGAATCAAAACTGACACGTGAAGGCACACTGGTATTAATGGCTGTGGAAGAGAACTCTCATCCTAGAGCTCTCAACTTAGCTACTTCACAAAGTTACCAGTTGCAGGGAGGAATAAATCTGTTCTCAACTCGTATTTAGGAACTGTCTCTGCACAATACAAAATTGCTTGGCTGCATATAACAGTAATTATTTTGCAGTTCACGGCACTATTAGGTACCCCTGATCTGCCGAAAGCCTGCAATACTGTGGCCATAACACTTCCAGAAGCTGGAAGGGTTGCAGTTCACGGCACTATTAGGTACCCCTGATCTGCCGAAAGCCTGCAAGTACTGTGGCCATACTTCCTTCCAGAAGCTGGAAGGAAACTGAGCTGAAGGGAGGAGTGCCAGCCTGCTGACCCTGCTCAGGTAAGCTCCAGAACACAGCCCTGAGCACAAACGCGTTATGGAGGGATCTGCTCCATCCCCTGCAGGATCCCAAACGCGACCTTCTCCCCGGGACCCTCGTTAACACCATCATTAAACTGAAAATTCCAGTGGTGCAACAGCAAACACAACATTATTTACGTATCAATAGAGGATGATGCACACTTTACTGAAGATTTACACTGTGTAAGGCTTTGTGTCAAATCCACCTTTCCCACAGACGCATCCCCGTGGACACTCTAACATTATATAAACTCCCCCTGAGATAATGATTATTCTATAACTTTCCAAAATCATCCCCCTTGGGGAAAGTATTACCTAACAAACACTCATTAAATACCTCACAAGTGCACTAGATCCCTGGGTTTCTACTAGATGCTAGCATAAAATAATATTTGCACTTTATTTTGAGATATTAAAAAAAAAGAAGACCAGGCTGGATAACTGTAACTGGAAAGGATAAACAGGATTAAGTAACAGGTGTCTGACTGCACATAATTCAAAGTCGTGCATGGAATACAGTGCACAGCCTTGGAATGGCTATGGAATGGAAATGGAAACATTGCATTTTGCACCTTGCTTTGAAAATCACCAGTATGTGAATTACAAATGTCTTGTAAATTACAGCCACGCAGACAGAGGCAACAGGAGCACTTGTATCCCCAGAGACCTTCGGATATATACGAAAGAAAACAAACAATCTTCAAACGTAAGCCTGCGGGGGAAAAAAAAAGGGGGGGAAAAAGGAAACAAAAAAAGGGAAAAAAGGAAGGAAAAAACCCCACTGCAACAAAGTTCTACTTAACTACACAGAAACATTTGTCACACCGCCCAGCACTGACAAAATCCGGATACACTCAGAAAGTACAGCGGCGAGGATGAGGGGAGGACTCGGGCTGCCAGCGCACACACTGAGGGACCCGCACAGGGACAGACACACGGAGGGACAGACCCACGGAGGGACACGCGTGAACCCGACACGCGTGTGTGCACAGCCCTGCATGCGTGTCGCACACAGGCGTGCATGGCATGCAGACACACCTATGTGGCACGCACCCATGTACCACAGCCCCACACGGCCACAGAGCCTTGCAGGGGACAGCCCCACGCGCCCGTGGCAGCCCCACAGGTTTATGGCAGCCCCACAGGGTCTGTGGCAGCCCCACAGGTTCATGGCAGCCCCACAGGTTTATGGCAGCCCCACAGGTTTATAACAGCCCCACAGGTTTATGGCAACCCCACAGGTTTATAACAGCCCCACACGCCCGTGGCAGCCCCACAGGGTCCGTGGCAGCCCCACGCGCTCGCGCCCCTCCCTCGCGGCCGGGGGAGCCCAAGGTTACGGCCCGGCGCGGGGGGGGCCCGGGCAGCGCCGCTCCCCGCCAAGGGCGCGAAGCCGCGGACACATCCGCGGCCGCCCCCCGTGCCCCCCGCCTCTGTGGTGGCCGCTCCCGCCGCCCTCACCTCAAGCGCCGCGGCTGCTTCCTCCTCCTCCTCCTCCTCACGCCGTGCCAGGGTCTGTGTGTGTCTGTGTGTGTGCGACCCGCCCGCCCCACAGCGGCGGCGGCTCCTCCTTCCCCCCTCCCTTCCCTTCCCCTCCCTCCTCCCCCGCC